AATTCATCCAATTACCAACAGCGCCCAGACACCGACTAACGGAGTCTCCCGATGATCCGTGATCTGCTGAACTTTCCTCACCTTGTGTACCCGTCGGTAGTGCGGGATCTAGCTCTGTCGGTAACTTTCGAAGCGCTCAAGTGGTGAAGCTTGCGTGTCTTGGCGAGACGTGGGGATAGGGTGGAACAGTAGTGGTAGGATCTTCACTCTGTGTCCGCAGTTGTTTCTGGATCCCAAGCGAATATTCGAGCTTGGTGAATCCAGGGCCTTGATCTGGGTTCTGGCTGTTGGGTTGCCTTGCGGGTGTGTTCCCTTGCCTTTGTGTTCCTTTGCGTCGTACCTGTCGCATCCTGTAGCGGAATCTTGAGAGTTGAGAGACTCCTTGGTATACCCGGCCAAGTAGAAAATCCGGTTAGCTTTTAGGACCTGCACGTGTAAAGGAGAGCTCACTAGGTGGTAGGAAATGGCCAATATATTATTCAGCTATTACTACCAATACTAGATGCGCAATTCCCAACCTTCACCGAGCATGCAGCGGGGCTGCCGTAGCTTTAGCGTCAGAGGAAGACGTTCGACTCAAAGAGTCACTAATACTTAGTTCCTTATCCAAAGGACACTTACAGCCCAAGACCAGGGCTCAAAGTTAACACCTTAACTTTTATGCTTCAAAACCAGAAGTGTTTTATTTACTATTATTGCGGCCAAGCCGCCTAGGGGTAAATGTATCTGTTTAACTATCTAGCATAGTTAAACCTAATCAAATGCATAACGTGTGGCTTTCGGCCAACGTACTGAGAGACCTTGTTAACTCTCCAACTTATGTACTGAGAGTTTGTTAACTCTCCGGGTACTTCGTACCCCTGTGTGTTCCACACCATGTAACCCTGTTACACTCTCCCCCACTAAGATGAGAACATTCCGTTCTCGAAACTCTCCTCAGCGAGGTCACGTCTTGTTAAGACGGCGGAGGTTACTACACCTCACACCAGCGTTGTACAGCTCCGTGAGCTCACAAACGCCTACGCATCGTTGATGCCCAACTTCTCGTCGTCGGCCCACGGCCCAATGTTCCAAGCGCAGTGCGCATCTTGCTCTCAAGCGGTCTCAGACCTACGCTCGCGCTCTGCGCCTACTCCAAGAGCTGCAAACCGCTTAGAGCAATGCGCTTGACTCATTCGAGTCGTCGACAACAGCTCAGCGGTTGAATACTCGCTTCACAAGCGATAGGTCGGTGGTTCGAACCCGCCACGGCACAGCCCTCTCGTTCCATGAACGATCGTTCACGCTTGGACAAGCTTAAGAACAACCCCCTTTTTAGCTCAGTGGTCGAGCGCTGGCTTTGGAAGCCACAGGTCGGTGGTTCGAACCCACCAGGGCACAGCCCTCTCGTTCCATGAACTGTTGTCCTTGAAAGGACAAGCTTAAGAGCAACGCCCTTTCAGCTCAGTGGTCGAGCGCTTGCTTTGGAAGCCACAGGCCGGTGGTTCAAATTCACCCGGGCGCAGCCCTCTCATACCATGAGTAGTCCGTTCTCGGACAGACGTACGGACATCGCCCTTATAGCTCAATGGTAGAGCTCCGGCCTGTCAAGCCAAAGGCCAGTGGTTCGATCCCCGTCCGGGACACCACTTTCGCTGTTACAGCGCATCCACATTTGGATCATGCTCATCGAGCAAGTTGTTTCAAAACAACTATGCGTCTATCGAGACGCTTGTGCCTGAACCTTGTTCAGCACAACACGAAGCACCTGCTTCCTTCGGGACCATGTCCCTAGCACTACGAGGTCTCCCCACCTCCTGCTCCCGCTGCGAGCACCGCTCATACGTACGAGCTGGCTGCTGCAGCCACTGGTCAGAGCCTGAGCTCAACTACTGACCTGATCGCTCCCCACGCTAGTGGGAGGCGCCCAGCGCCTGGTGACGCTGTCGCACGCCATGGTGGCGCTTCGGCACATGATGTGCCCGGTCGTAAGGGTCAACGACGTCAGGGCAACCTTGCCGGAGGATAACCTTAATCTCCCATGAGTTCTGTGAGTGAGGGTAACCCCTCCACTTCACCAAGTACTGGGTACGACCCTGGCGTCTACGCCACGCCACAAGGCGTTCCACGTGAAAGTGGAGCTCACCATGCTCATCGAGCAGAGCAGGAGGAGGCCTTGCCTCAGCTGGGCTCTCGCGGGGAGAGTCAGCACTTGCCGGAACGGCGTCTGCGTCCATACGACGCCGGCGTCACGACGCGAACGTTCACCGCCCATCCGTCGATCTCGAAGAGATGATCACCTTGTGGATAGGTTAGAGCCACCACTGTTGACTCACAAACCAGGTCTCGGACCTTGAGCGTCCAGCTGCTCGGCTGAACGTTCAGCTTGCCTTGCTCCTGCATCTCGAGCACTTCGCTCCGCGACCTGTGGCTCTGCCACATGCTGTTGATCAGCCATCTGTGGATCCACCACTTGCTGTCGTTCAGCCTCCCGTGGCTCTACCACCTGCTGCCCTGCAGCTCTCCGTGGCCCAGCCACCGTTGGTGCCAACGCCTCCGCGCTCACCTGAGCAGGGTCTTGGTATGGCTTAAGCAAGCCGACATAGAAGACCGGATGCGTGCGCATCTTCTTCGGAAGGTTGAGCGTATACGCTAGGCCCTTCCTGGCCACGACCTTGAACGGTCCTATGAACCGAGGTCTTAACTTCGTCTTGAAGACTGCAGACACTGCATGAGTAGGTAGGTTTTTAGCGTTTAATAAAACTTGGTCACCGACCTCAAACCTCTCAACATTGCTTCTGCCCTTGGCATCTGCATGTTCCTTCTGCGTGTCTTGGCTTTCAGCCATAGCGTCGCGTACTTGACGCATTACGCTCAGTCTCAAAGAGACAAAGTCATCGACTTGCTTGCGAACCGCAACAGGGCTGACATCAGCTAGCCGCTCGGCTATCCCTCCCTCACCAAGCCCTGAGCCACTGCATGGCGGCGTCAGTGAGACGCGAGAGTTAACCAAGCCGTTCACATAGAACGGAGTGTAGCCTGTCGAGGCGTGCACTGCATTATTTAATGCGAACTCAACGAGTGGAAGCATCTGGCTCCAGCGTTTTGGCGCCTCAGCGCATACGCTTCGGAGGGTATCCTCCACAACGCGATTCACGCGCTCGGTTTGACCATCGGTCTGCGGATGGTCCGCCGTGGACATGTCCAAACGAGTGCCGAGCACTCTGAAGAGGGACGTCCAGAACTTCGCGGTGAAGCGCGGATCTCGATCCGAGACAATTGCCTCAGGCAAGCCATGTTGGCGAAAGACTCGGTCTAAAAACAGCAAAGCTGTACCTTCACCATCAATGGTGTCCGGCACTGCCGCTAAATGAGCCATCTTGCTCAATCGGTCTACAAAGACCACTATACCTGTGTTTCCCGCCTTATCCTTGGGAAGGCCAAACACAAAGTCCATACTCATGGACTGCCAGCATCCCTTGGGGACAGGCAAACTCGCCAATGGCGCTGCCGTGCTCGGCGCGGACTTCGTCCGTTGACACGTCTCACACGTGCGTACATAGGTGCCGACCCACTTATACATCTTGGGCCACCAGTACATCGAGCTCACCGAGCCATAGGTCTTCTCCCGACCTAAGTGCCCGCCCACGGGCGTATCATGAACCTCATAGAGGATTCGATACTTTAGATCCTCATCATGAGGAACGACTACACGAGGGTTATCCTCAGAGTCGGTGCTGTAGTACAGCAGGCCGCCATCGAGCGAGTATCGATGCAGCCTCGCGCGTAAGCGCCCAGACAATTCCTTGTCAGAGTCTTTAAACTCTTCGCTCCCAAGAGCCCGTAGCAGCGCTACGCACATGTCGTCTTGTGCATACGCTCCGCGTATCAAGTCAGGCACTGCCGACGTCACTGTCGTGACATGAGCTAACTCGTAGTCCGGCCTGCGCGAGAGCGCATCGGCCACTACATTAAGCCGCCACGGCTTGTACTTCACCTCGAAGTTATACTCGGCAAAGAAGGAAGCCATCTTGCCATTCTCTGAGAGAGATGAGGCGACTGTGTCGCAGTTCGTAACCACGCATGGTCAGTAAAAATCACAAAAGGCTTAGAGCCTAGCAGGTGTACCCTGAATTTGACTAGAGCATACTTCATTGCAAGTAGCTCTTTGTCATAAACTGGATAGTTCTTCTCTGCAGCTTTGAGCTGGCGAGACTCAAACGCGATCACGCGTTCACGCCCTTCGGCTTCGTCGTCTGCTTGTAGTAAAGCACAACCGATTGCAAAATCGGAGGCGTCACAGACGACGCTAAACGGACTATCCGGGTCCGGTAGCGCAAGGATCGGAGCCTGGAGGAGACAGCCTCAAAGGCTCCGTCGTGCTTGACGTTCCAGCACCATGGTGCGTCCTTCTTAAGGAGATCTGATAATGGCCGAGCCATCTCCGCGTAGTTTGCACTGTACTTGTGCAAGTAATTGGCTAAGCCTAGCCACTTGCGTAAGTCTTTTTGGTTCTTGGGAACCGGCCAATCCACGATGGCCTTGACTTTGGCAGGATCTGCCCGTAAGCCACGCTTCCCAATGAAGCACCCGAGGAAAGGTATCTCCTCCGCGCCAAAGACGCACTTGTCCAAGTTGGCATACAACTTATTAGTGCGCATGCACTCGAGCACCGCTCGCAAGTGGTCAATGTGGTTATCCACGTCTGACTTTCCGTGCTCGGCACGACTATGGACGAATATATCGTCAAAGTACGTTTGAGCGTACGCCCGGTGGGGCCTAAACAACTGCGTCACAAGACGATTGAACGTTGCTGGTGCGTTCGACAGCCCCTGGGGCATCACCAGCCACTCCCAGAGCATACCGCTCGGAGTACTCACCGCTGTCAGCGGAATGTCGCTCGCTCTCATGAGCAATTGGTAGTAGCCATCGACCAAGTCGAGCGCGCTGTACAACGTACAGCCTACCATGTTGTTCTGCAGAACATCCTTGCGAGGAATCGGCGTTTGCGCCGGGATAGTGGCCGCATTTAGCTTGTTAAAAGCATGAACAATGCGCCACTTGCCGTTCGGCTTTCTGACACAGAACGTGGGTGTCGAGTGCGGAGACTTACTCTCACGCACCATCGAA